TTCACCATCCAGGTCCTATACATGTTTTGTTAGATTTAGGCCTAATTATTTCAATTTTTAAGAAATTATAAATAGCACTATCGATTTAGTTTCAGTATTCACATGTTCATTAACAGATGCATTAGGGCTGGAGACATGACTCAAGTAGTGTAACACCTCCCTAGCAAATGTAAAGTCCTGAGTTCAAACCCCAGTTCAGCAAAAAAAAAAAAAAAAAAGTGAGACACACTTGGAAATGCAGTTGTTTGTTTATAGTGTACACGTAATAATTTACAGTTATTAATTATGTGAAGTTTTTCATTTAAGCAGCCCCCAGAATTTTATACGTAGACAGCCACATCATTCGCAAATAGGTCCTGATAGTCAGTTTTATTGTTACTGTGATCAAATACCTGACAGAAACAACTTAAAGGAGAATTATTTTGCTCAGGGTTTCACAAGTTTCAGTTCACCATGGCTAGAAGGGCATGGTGGAGCAGAACTGTTCAACTCACCGCAACCAGGAAGCAAACAGGAAGTAACAGGAAGGAGCCAGGGAAAAAATATATCACTCCCAAGAAAACACCCACAGTGTCCGGCTTCCTCCAATCAAGCCCCACCATCTACAGTCCCACCACCTCCCAAAAGTCTATTCAAAATTTGAATGGATCCATCAATGGAATAAGTCGTTCCTTAGATCAGAGCCCTCATGATCTAATCTTCTCTGAAAACACCCTCACAGACCCACTCAGAGGTGTGCTTTACTAATCTCCTAGGTACTTCTTAGTTCAATCGAATTGGCAACCAAGGTTAACCATCACCTAAGTGCAGTTGTTTTGCATCAATTCAAGACTGTATGCCTTAATTCTAGTTCTTGCACTACCTAAAATTTCCAGTACTGTATTGAATAAGAACAGTGAGGGAAAACATTCAGGACTTCACCATCAACTGTAATGTTAGTTGTGTTTTGATAGATGCTCTTTATCAAGTTATATAAGTTTTCCTCTATTCCTGTTATTCTGAAAATTTTTATCATGAAAATGGATGTTGTACCAAATTCTTTTTCTGCATCGATTGACATGATCATGTAATATTTCTTCTTTATTCTATTAACATGATTTATTGTAATGATTTATTTTCAAAAATTAACCCAGCCTTAAAATTCCCTTAGGCCATGGTTTATAATTCCTTTCATATTCAGTGTATTCCTTCAAATTCCCCCCTTAAGCCCACATGTTATTTATAATAGTATTGTTTTATCCTCTACATATTTTTCTCTATATTTTTCAGTTCTGTTGTTGTTTGGTACGTGTCTTCTTGGGGTAGTCACACTTGACCATAATATATTGCCATCTGAGAACTTGCTGTTCTAGGAAGTCTATTTTATCTGATATTAATATAGCCACTCCTGGTACTATGCTCCTTTTTGTACCATTCTTCTTCCTTTTAATGTTGTCCAGATAAATCTTTGCTTTTCCCCAAAAAATATGTATATATATAGCCACTCCTACTTTTTTTGATTTGTGTTTGCATAAGAGGTAGGTGGTAAAGGGGTAAGGGAGAGCAATGGAAGGGGGCTGAATAGACCAAAGTAAAGTATACCCACAGCAGGGATACACTGAGAAACCCCTATGAACATCAACTTAGATATGAATAATGAAAGACAGGACTGTAAAATAGATACAGTGTGGGAGAGGGTGCTTGGGCAGAGAGGGTGAGCAAAGGAGATGAAGGTGAGGGAATATGATTCATATACTTACATGAAATAAAACAAAGAAACTTCTCTCAGTAACTTTAAGTGGGGTGAGGAGGGGCCGGGGGGAAGAAACAAACGGTGAGGGTGATCCCACTAATGTACAAAATAAATCCCCTGTACAACGAATATATCTTAGTTTAAAAAATTAAAAATATGAAGTAATCTTCTTTGTCTCTTCTGACAAATTTTGGTTTGAAGTCTGCTTTTTCAGATATGAGTATAGCTACTCCTGCTTGCTTTGGAGCTGCATTTGCTTGGAAAACTTTTTTACATCTTTTCATTTTCAGTCTGTTTGTCTTTGCCAGTGAGGTGTGTTTCTTTTACACAAGAAATGGTTGAGTCTTGTTTTTTCAATCCAGTCTACCAGTCTGTGTCTTTTGATTGGAGAATTGAAATCATTAACCTTCAGAATTATTATTGAAAGGTATTTACTAGTTCTTGCCATTTTGTTGTTTTTATAGTGTTGGATTCTTCTTACTCTTCATTTGCTCATCTGCTTTTCTGGAGAGGTTTATTTTTTCCCATATTTTCATGCTTCTGTTTATCCTCCTTGACTATGTGTAGGATTCTGGTAAGTATCTTCTGCATTACTGTTTTATTTAGTGATCATGAATTGCTTTAGTTTTTATCATTGAAGGCTTTTATTTCTCCTTCAATTTACTAATATGTGGCTTGGGACAGATTTCTTTCAGTGTTTTCTGTTTGGGGTTTTCACAGATTACTGAAAGGTTTATGTCCTTTGCCAAACTGGTGAAGTTTTTTATTTTAATTTTATTTTTTAGTTAATATACAGTTTTAATAATATGAGAGGGTTTCATTGTGGTAATTCCATAGATGCATACAATGTACTTTGAACAAATTTACCTCCTCCTTCTCCATTCTATTCTTGTTTCCCCTTCTCTTTTTTCCTTCTTTTCAAACAGTGTTTGATGAGCTTGATTAGGCTGTCTTCAGGGCTGGTGGAGTGGTTCAAATGGTAGAGCACCTGCCTAGCAAGCATGAGCCCTGAGTTCAAACCCCAATACTACCAAAGAAAAGAAATCTACATTAGGCTGTCTTCAAATGCCTATATGTAATATACTTTGACCCTCCTATTGGTAAAGTTTTCAGCCATTATTTTTTTTGGTATCTTCTCAGTCTCTCCCTCTCTTCTTCTTCTCCTTCTGGGATTGTCATAAAACATGTGAGTTCTTTCATTATAGACTTACACATTCCTAAGTCCCATTAATATCTTTTCAGTCTATTTTCTCTTTGTTGTACAGATTGGGTAAATTCTATGTTCTATCTTCAAGTTCACTGATTCTTTCCTGAGCCTACTTTTCAACCCACCCATTTATTTTAGTTAAAGAATTTTCAAGTCTAAAATGTAAAATGTCTGTACCTTCTATTTTTTTACTAAGGTTTTCTATTTCCTTTCTGAATCTATTTTTATAAGCTTTTTCCAAGAGTGCTTGAAATTGATCTTGAAGCAATTGTACAAAGGTACATTTAAATTTTTTGTCAGAAAATTCTAAAATCTGTTTACACAGTGATAGAGTCCCTTGATCATCTGTTTATATTCAGTTTAAGTTTTCCTAGTGACTTCTAATTGAAGTATGTATATTTTGGGTCTTAAATTATGAGTCTGGATCTTATTTAAACTTCCTATTTTAGCTGACATTCTGCTAGATAGACTTCCTCTGGTAACATCACAGGGTAGAGGGAGAGGAATGGTCTCAACTGACAGGATGGAAAGGATACCTCACCATGACTCTATTGAGATGAAAGTTCTGGCTTGTGTTGCTCACTTTTTAATCAGATTGAGAAAAGCAACTTAAGGGAAGAAAGATTTATTTTGGCTCATAGTTTCAGGGGTTTCAGTCAATGGTCAGCTGGCTCCACTGCTGTGGACTTGAGGCAAAGCTGAAACGTCATGGCAGGGAGTATATGACTGAGCAGAGCTGCTCACCTCATAGCACCAAGGAAACAATGAAACAGAGAGGAGGAAGCTAGAGATAAATATATCCTTCAAAGATACACCCCTAGCAACCCTCTTCCTCCAATCAGATCCCAACTACCTTCCACAGTTTTCTCTACTCACAATAGTTCATTAAATTACGAATCCACCATTAATCCATTGCTTAGGCCACAATATGTATGATCTAATCACATTCCAAAAGTCCCACTTCTGAACATGGCAGTGGTCACCAAGCCTTCAACACATGAACCCTCAGGGGACATTTTATATCCAAGCCACAACACACTTCCACACACAGTCAATCTGGCAGAGGTATTGTGGCATGCCTTGGGACACTGGCAATAATAGAAGTGTGGACTTGTCACTAGACCCTGGTTGGTAGAGACAGGAATGGGAGAAGTCTTTCTGTGGTGTTTGACTAGAGTATGGTAGTTACTTTCTAAAATTTTTCTGTTTTGTTAGTCTGGACTTTTCCTGGTTCTTTGGCTAGAGTTAACAGGCTTTCCCTTTTAAAATTTTCTTTATCGATTTTTGTCTCCAGATTTCCAGCTTTTTAAGCTCAAGTCAAGAAATATGAAGAAAAAGAAAATTCAAGAGCTTAGTCAGTACCATGCTGTGCTGTGGGTCCCGAAGTTCCTAGCTAGTGTGCTTCTTTCTCTTCGCTTTTAGAAGCTCCTTACGTTTGTAATGTCCAGAGTTTTTTGTTGTAGGGAAAAACATCCTACTATAATTTGCCAAGAAGTAGAAGTCTCACAACTAACTCTTAAGAAACTATCACTTGTTAAATTTTGGTATGTTATTAAACATACCAAATGGTATGTGGGCGTAGTTGGTATGCCCACAACTATGTAAGAAAGGCTACTGAATTTTTTTTCTTTTACAACTACATATCTGTGTGAGACCAGAATTTTTTCTTATATATTTCAACCAGAACAATCACAAAATTGAATACAGAAAATTGAGAATTCAACTGTCTTCTACTGTCAAATAGTAAAGATTTGCAAAATAAGTAAATAAATAAACAATCCTAGTTTCCTCACTACATTTTGGTGCTTAAAAACAATTTTTTTTCATAAAAATACATTATTTCTGCTGATGCATGTGATTTTATTACTATTATTTTTCAATAAATAAATATTTTAGCATTTTCTCAGTTTTAAATTCTGACATTTTAAATGCCAAAACATGTAACTCACATAAACAATTACTGAAGTCCTCGATAATTTTTAAGAGTTTCAGAAGTATCTTAAACCACAAAGTATGAGAACCTGTGAGATAGAGACAATTAATATTAAAGAAAGTTCTTACTTCTTGTCCCAGGAGGTTCAGGGGTGGCGTGTAAGCATGGCAACTAGTTCTTCGTGCCAATTCAAGGGAATTCGCTGGTGATGTTGGAGGAACATTACCACATTCTTGTTTTTCACTCATAACAGGAATTCCATACAGTATTCTACAATATGACAGACACACTAAGTTGGGTTTCAAAGTTATTGATAAAAGCAAAGAATGCTTGCTATCTTTTCATACATCTGCCGAAATAAACACATTGACATTTGACATCTACACTAAACAGAAATTTAAAGAAGTCAAATAATCCAAAATGAGAAATAATCCCAAAATAATTTGGGTTTGCTGTATATATTTTAGTAGTAGCTTTTGTGATGGTTTTGTTTCATTATGCAGAAATAGTAAGCTCACTATGAAAGCAGTTACAAAAAGGATCAAAAGTTCTCCATCATCTTATTGTTAACTTGCACTGTACTCCAAGCTCACGTCAAAGTCTCACTTCTTAGCCTGGGGCAAAGCACCAGGTTGAGCAGAACTCACCTTCTCACATTATAGCTTGATATATGTCTTGCTGAGAGGCACAGAAACTGTTTTGTCATCTGGTCTTCCCTTGGTAGACTACAAGCTGCTTATAACTAAGAACATATGCATATTCTTTGTACCATATATACTTTTGTACCATATATATAGTTAAAAATCTAAACAAACCTTTAACTTTGCCAAAGACATGAGATAAATCAAAAATTTAAAGCTGATGTTGAAATCGCCAAGAGGACTAAGGTTGAAAAAAGAATAATGGAGGTGATAAATCAATTTAGGGTATAATATATAAATATATAATTATATATATAAATATATACATTATACATATGGAATATATATAAATATATGCATGTTATTATATATATATCTATATAAACGTCACAGTGAAACACCATGTATAACCATCATAAACAAACAAAAATGTCTTTTATAAAAAATGAAGGTAAGACAAGTCCTGTCCCAGGGTTGGCACCAGCAGGAGAGGGGGAGGACATAAAGAAAGGGGGAAGGAGGGTGAATATGATGGTATGATGGGAGTATTATTTATTCACGTATGAGAATAGAACAATAAGACCTGTTGAAACTGTTCTGAGAAGGGAGATATTCTTAAGAGCTACAGGAGAATGTTGGAGGGAGTTAATCTACGTAAGATGTATAGTAAGCACTTTTGTAAATGTATCCCCAGTACAAATAAATCAGTATATTTTTTAAAGAGGAAAAAAATTGAAAGCAGAATGTATTACTAACTACTAACCTATGGATTGCTTGAAAATACATTAACTTTCATATCACAAAACCTACTGCAAAATATATAAAATGAATATAAATTAGTTCTCTACGGACTGTAACTCTACTGATCTAACATGTAAGCATTTGGAGCTACTGGTCCCTCTCACCTTTTGATTCACCATGATATGAGAGACACCTTTATGAAACACCTACTGTGAGGATTAAGCATACCACCTGACTTCTAACTTAATATGTTGAAACTCCAAAAGCCCATCTCATCAGCTCCTAAGAAGTAGATGCGGCACTATTCACAATAGCCAAGTTATGGAAACAGCCAAGATGCCCCAGCACTGACGAATGGATTAAGAAAATGTGGTATCTATACACAATGGAATTTTATGCAGCCATGAAGAAGAACGAAATGTTATCATTCGCTGGTAAATGAATGGAATTGGAGAACATCATTCTGAGTGAGGTTAGCCTGGCTCAAAAGACCAAAAATCGTATGTTCTCCCTCATATGTGGACATTAGATCAAGGGCAAACACAACAAGGGGATTGGACTATGAGCACATGATAAAAGCGAGAGCACACAAGGGAGGGGTGAGGATAGGTAAGACACCTAAAAAACTAGCTAGCATTTGTTGCCCTTAATGCAGAGAAACTAAAGCAGATACCTTAAAGCAACTGAGGCCAATAGGTAAAGGGGACCAGGAACTAGAGAAAAGGTTAGATCAAAAAGAATTAACCTAGAAGGTAACACCCACGCACAGGAAATCAATGTGAGTCAATGCCCTGTATAGCTATCCTTATCTCAACCAGCAAAACCCCTTGTTCCTTCCTATTATTGCTTATACTCTCTCTACAACAAAATTAGAGATAAGGGCAAAATAGTTTCTGCTGGGTATTGATGGGGGGGAGTGGCAGGGGGTGGAGTGGGTGGTAAGGGAGGGGGTGGGGGCAGGGGGGAGAAATGAACCAAGCCTTGTATGCACATATGAATAATAAAAGAAAAATGAAAAAAAAAAAAAAAGAAGAAGTAGATCTACTGAGAGCCAACCTCTTAGAGAATATAGGGCTTTGACAAAGCAGAGTCATAAAAACAAGCATCCTATCTCACCTCATCAGCTTTCTGAACTCAAAGAGAGGTTAAAGATCAACTCTCAGCTAGGTGAATTCCAAAGCAACTCAACACCCACTCACACCTCCTTCGACTGTGCTTCTCCTCAGCCAATGGTCAAATGTGACTTAAGACCCACTAACCAGGTACACGCACATACAATTTAGAAGGCAGGAGGTTCTGGTGTTTCTGTTGGCAAGCACAGTCAGAACAATGCCAAGTGCTTCTAAAGCAGTGTTCCAGTTACTTCTCTTGTGAATTGCCATTTTTATTTTGCCAGTGAGCATGTCAAACACAGTGTGAAGACACAGTGTGGCTCCAGAATCAAAAGCTGTGACAGTCGAGGCCATTTGACTCCCTGAATCGTAGCAAGGTGGTATATTGCCAATATGGTGTTCCAGCTGTCCTGCCTTCTTGACTGCCACAAGGAATGCTCACTTAACAGCCAGTTAAATATGCTGGGAGAGTATCTCTGAAAGCTGTCCTGACTAACACCTATTTTTCCAGCCCTTCCATTGTATTGCCATTACTCAATCCCTGTTTCTGTTTGCTGCAACTGAATCTTGACTGATAGACCCAGGAAAACAAAAGAACAGGGTTAGATTTAGAAACTAAGAGAATGAGACCAGAGTGAAAACACACCAAGATCGATAAAGTAGTTCTGACATCAGGTTGCAGGAGAGGGTGGTAGTGGTCATTAACAGGGGTAATCAAAAAAGCTAACTTGAGGCACTAATATACTTTTATTTGGCTCTAAGCCAAAAATAGAGTAGTAAAAATTATATCCTACTGTCTTTCACTTTCCAAAAGCACAAATAGAAATTTTGGTTGGTTAGAATTAAAGAGGAAAAAGTCCCTGGACATTCTAGAGTGCATACCTCTTGCAGACATGAGTGGGGACTTTTGAGGAAAGGCCATGTAAGGCTAGCAACTGTTCCTGCATGACAAAGATGAATCACTTACTTGAAAATTTTTCTCCATATTTCCCCTGCTTCCTTCTTTCTTTCTGAAGAAATGAATCTAGAATTTCCTCTTTGGAAAACACTACCATCTCAGTAGTTAAGACTAAAAAATCTCATCTCCAGCCTCTCCATCACTTCTGTCAGTAATCTCCCATTCTGTTCATTCTCCCTCCTCAGTGTCTCTCCTGTCCATTGCCACTTCTCTCATCTGAATCCTGTGCTATCATCTTTTCTGGTCCTTTGCCTCCAGACTGTCCCTCCTTTGATTCATACTACATACCCCTGCCAGATCTGTCACCAATCACCCCCTCTCCAAGCACTTTAGTGACTATACACATGATATAATCCAAGCCCATGAGACTGGCAGTCAGAGTCCTCCACAGCTTGCCATCATCTACCTTGCCAATCTTACTTCATTCTGCAAGACCCAATCCAAACTATATTCAATATGCAAAAGGTGCTGGGATTACTACAATGGCATTTGGGGACAGCCATACCAAGAGTACAGTATGGCTCTGAAAATTACAAGGGCAAGGCTCTCAAACCTCACCTCTTCCCCAGGACCTTTTCAAATCTCCCTCTATTCAGCCAAAATTCCTCTTTGCCTCTCTAGTTTTCCTGCTGCATTTGATCTGCCTTTTCTCTACAGCATGTACTCTATGCTATTCTGTGTACCTTTCTCCCTGGAGATTAGATACAGGGTGGCTTGGGAGGAAAAAGTGACACTCATTTTTCTGTCTACCAAGACATTGAATGTAGTAGGTACCGAATAAATACTGCTGAATTTTGGCCAAGTATGCATAGTCTCACATCTAAAGCCAGCCTGTCTCCTATTCTGGGGAACTGGGGTTCACAGATCGTCATGAGATATTGCAGTGGTTCTCAATGTGTGTTCCCTAACCAGTTTCATCAGTTTCACACATGAACTTGTTAAAAATGCAAATCATTGAGACCCACCACAGATCTAATAAATCAAAAACTCAAGGCATGGACCCAACCATCTATATTTTAACCTGCCCTGCAGGAAATTCTGGTATACTCAGTTTGAGAACCACTGACGTGCTTTAAGCTTTCCTAAAACAGCATGATTATAAGAATATCCTGAGATGATTGTCAAGTCCACAGCTCTGCAGATTCCTTCTTCTGGAAATTCTAATGTAGTAGGTTTGGGAGACAGCCTGATAATTAACATGCTTATCAAACACTGTCAGATTGTCTTTATCCTCAGGGAAGTCTAAAACTCACTGGTAGAGTGGAAAGAGTGAGCCTTTGGCATGAGGTTATGATCATGATTTTAGCCCTTTTGGCCACTTGCTATGTCAGTGCTATGGTATGAATATGGTTTGTACTCTCTAAAATTCATGTTGAGTCTTGACCCCCAAAGTGGCAGTGTTGGGAGGTGGGGTCTAGTGGGAGGTATTTGGGCCATGGAGTTGGAGACCTCAAGAATGAATTAATGTCTTTCTTGCAAGAATGGGTTAACTATGGTGGGTGGGAGTTCATTTCCATTTTCTCGTTCTCTTTCCACTTTCCACCATAAGTTGAAGCAGCATGAGGCCCTTACCAGATACAGATGCCCAATCTAGACCTTCCCCGCCTCTAGAAATGTGAGTCAATGTAAACTGTTTTCTTCATAAATTTCTCAGTCTCAGGTATTGTTCGAGCAACAGAAAACAGACTGAAACAGTTGGAACCTTTCCTTCCTAAGTCTGTTTCCTCATCTCTGAATGGCAGCATGGGTTGGATCTTGCAGAGTATAATGCTTAGAAATAATACAGGTGAAGACCTGTATAAACAGTACATGCTCAGT